ACTAGGGAAAACAGCATGGCTCATCCTAAAAAAAGCGACCAATAGAAAAACTGTCTGATCTGGCAACCCCACTCCTAGGTATATATCCTAGAGTGACACGACTAGACATTTGCATACCTATGTTCATTGCAGGATAAAGATGGAAACACCTGTACTCATAAATGGATAAGCCAACTGTGATACAGGTATAGAATGCAATACCACACAAATATAGATAATAATGAGTCTGTGAAGGATCTTAGAATTTGAATTAATATGGGGGGCATTATGCTAAGTGAAATAAGTCAGTCACAAACAGATTAATTTTATACGGTCTATTATTATAAACAGTCAAGAATAGATATACACATAGAAAGCACAGTTCTTTGATAGTTACCAGGAATGGGAAGGGAAAAGAAGAGCGGTCACTTTCTAGATAGTACATACTTGTTGCTTTTGGTGAGAAGGGCAAGACCAAATATGGGAGAAGTCAGGATTACTTGACCAAGATATATAAAGACACAAAGAACCAGAACAAAGAACATGAGAAAAAGGACTAATTTGGGAATGCTAACAACAAAGAAATGTAACATATATGATTTTGCAACAAAAGTAAACACAACCAAAAAACATATGTGTGATTTCACAGGTACATATGGTTGCATATATGTGCATATGTACAGAAGCATATGAGAGTGTGTGTATAAATGTACATGCATTCATAAGCACAACTATATACATGTTAAGTGTGTGCTATATGTATATCCACATATATAAGAAACCACATATGGATAGAATTACAGAGGCTTCCTAGACATATCCAAAGTAGTACACAGGAATGGTTGACTGGGTTAAAAGGTTTGGGACTATAGTCTTGGAGAAAAACAAATCAAGTAGCATAAAATCAGTTCATAAAAATAATGCTCTACATCCTCGTTTGGTGAATAGTTTGTACCATAGGAGGTACAATTATTGGTTTCCTCCAACAGCAAAGGAGAATGAAGGAAGCCAAAGACTTAAGGAAGCAATGAGTCCAAAGGATTAATGGTTCACATGAACCACAGCCTCCTTTTAAGACCAGAAGAAGTAGATGGTGCCCAGCTCCCAC